CTATTTGGATCTACAAAGGGTATCTCTTTTTTGACCCGCAGAAAAAAGAAGGTGTGGATTCCTCAAAATGAGGACTTCACACCAAGACACTTGCTTGACTTGGCCAGCAAGACACCCGCGCAGCCGCCAAGGCAGTGCTTGAGAAAGCCAAGCGGGAAGAGGTCCGGTGTGCTGGCCTCCGCGGATAGCTTCTGCATGCTGAAGCGACTGAAGTGAGCTCGACAGGAAGTGGAAAAAGAGTAGAAGTGTGCTTTGATTGTTTGGGCGGTGGCGAAATGTGCGTAAAATCTGGTAACCCGGTATGCACTTCAATTATTCTTTATTTCAGGGAGTGTAGTTATATAGTTCATGTTAGTTCAATTGTATTGATGATATGGTTGTCTCCAAGTCTCGTCTCACAAGTGCTGCATGAGACTTGCTTCTTGCATCCAGATTGGGCTGGCAAAATCCGTCGGTGGATCCGTGGGGTGTCGCTTGTGTAGTCAGCATGCCTTCAGGGAATGTGCCCTTCTGCAGCACCAAGTTTGTAAGCAAGACTAAGTGGACATTCTGCCACACAATGGTGGCATGCCGATGTGGCGTGCCCATGGTCGTTCTCCAGCAGTTCAGAAAGTTTTTCATGAAACCGGGTTTGTGCTCGTAAGCAACGTCTCAGACTGAGGGTTCATTTGACCTATTGTTGCGTCTTCAGTGAAACATGCATGTTTTTTGATATATAGCAATTGTATCCAACGGTTGGTCGAAGGCTCCTCAAGAGGGTCTCAACAGCAGTTGCTAGAGGCTTCACGGGACCAACACACACACACACAAGAACACTTGAAGAAATGGCGTGTCATAATGAGATGCAATCGTACAAAGATTCTTCCCCAGATATCAGATAACAATGGAATGCTGCAAGAAATGGACGAGTGTGTAACTGTAAATGTAACAATGTATGTCTTTGACCAGATGGTCCAGCACTCCACCAACCCAACAACCACAACAACGGAAATACGCCTCCAAAAACCCAACGGGACCTTTGACAGCAGAAACCTTAGACCCAGAGTATTCAGCAATGATTGCCAAAAGAACTTGAACGTATGAGGAAAATGGGCACATGTGGTAGCATCACTTTTGTTCATGCTGGACGCAAGAAGAGCCGGATAAAAAAGAAACGTGGCCATGGTTTTGAGATTTTTTGAGGTGCCGTGACTCTCCGACTAGGTCAGTGGAAGTCTGGGTCCCAGGCCCCAGTAGATGTCTTCTCATCTTCTCAAAGCATTTACATTTCGAGGAAAAGGACTCAGACTAAGAGTCCTTCATGAACTGCGTTCAGAAAAGGAGTAAGAACTTAAGAAACAGAGTAATATTCGTTGCGTAATAGATGTAAAGAACAAATCACTCAGCAGCTCCAAGGGTATTGAAGGGAGTAAAGGGCAGAGGATACAAGGTTGGACCATTCAACGGAGTGATTTCTTGGTCCAACCACATCAACGCCGCAAAAAACACAAAAAACAGACCCATGAATCACTCCCTCCAAAACCTCGCTCGAATAGACATCATCCATATTAAAACAACACAACAGTTTAAACATGTTTTAACACACTATAGATCAATATATATATATATACATAGAGACCACAAGATATCAACAAGTCGTTCAGAGCAGATTCTTTCAGATTGTCCATCAACCTCCAGAAAAACAGGAAGCTAACCCACACGCTGCCAGAGGTGATTTTCGACCATACAAGGATACAAGAGATGGCAAAGCCCAAGATAGGTGACAAGATACTGTATACAACGGTCTATAACAAGAAGAGAGACCTAACGGACAGATTGACCTCTTAACAGGAAACCCGATGTCCAAAAAAAACAAAGGGATTCCACAATATTCGAACTGGAAACGAAACAGGGCTCTACAATGGACAAGACTGGACAAGAACAATAATGCACCCTTCAACATTCTGAGAGTTATGATGGATGCACAAGGGACTCTCAAAAGCACCGAAAGCAAGAAGGCCAATGAAGATGTAAGACACTCAATAAGAATTATGTATATATATACACAAGGCACAGTAGGATAATAATAGCTGACCAACGCAGAGGTATTCGTACAGGTCTCCCGGGAGGTGATGGAGTTTACGGCGCTGAAACGCAATCGTCCGTCATTTCTTCCGAAGGACTTGGAGTTGAAGAAGATGAGGGAGGCCGGTGACATGGCTGAGCAAAGGATCTATTGGCTGATCAGTAATTAAATATTAAAAACTCACCAGTGGCCCTGAAGTTTTTTTTAGAAAACGGGGCTATGTCCACGGAAATGGGATGTACCCTGCCAAAAACACTACATGGTTTGGCCAATATCTCGAGGAGTTCTGGGCAATAAACTCTGATGGTTTCAAAAGTGTTGAGGCACTGGGTGAAGTGCCTCACATATCCTCCTTTTCCTGGAAATTATCCAACCTGGCCCAGAGACGTTTTCCTGCACTGCCATAGGTTCGCTGCCTTTCAGCCAAAGTGCTGTTCGCTTCATAGTTCCAATGAGAAGCACAAATGGATGAGATGCACAGTTTGTGAATCAATCAGAAGACCCCAAGAAGACAAGAACCTTCCAACAGGCAGGGGGGCGATTTGGATACCTATTAATGGACTATTTAATGGACACCTGTTCATGTCTTGAGGGAACTATATAAGACCATTTCTTTACTTTAAAACACTTTTCTTTAATTTATTCCCGATAGGCACTCCGTTGGTTTGTAAGAGGTGTTTCGACTGGTCAGACTAGGTCCACCATGGAGCCCAACCTTGCAAAAAGATGGGAATGACCAGGCCCTTCAGAAGGGAACAGGTAATGTGCATCATATATCCATACATATCCCATGTTAACCCAATTCTTTTAAAGCTACAAACTGGAGGCTCCCAGGCCGTGCCATCACTGAGGTTTGATCCCGCCGCTTGGATTCGCCTGGAACGTTCGGGCCGGCTTGGAACCGCGCGTCAAACGCCGCGTGTGGGAGGGAGGAGAGAGATAGTCTCCTGAGCTCCGAACGAGAGCATTTGGGAAAAGCCAACTGAGCTGTTTGGGATGGTTCTCTACCAGGTTTGGGCCTTAGCTCAATTGATATTTGAGCAACTCTATAAACCTCTCTGTTCATGTGAAGTGGTGGGCTTGTCCGACATGCTTCGTGTAATTAAGCAAAACCTGACGGCAGACGGCTCCGAAATCGGTTTTCTCGAGCGCTCTTTTGACACTGCTGGAGAACAGGTACTTGGCGTGTGTTTTGGAATGGATTCAGCAAGCACCAGGAATTGCCAGTTTTTCAGTGGGGGACTTGAAGAGAGAAAAACCGGTTGCAGGTGTTTCAGGTCACCGCGGGGTGATTCCAAGATCCTCCAGGATCATCCAGGGTCGATCCCAAGAATCGAAGGTTTCATCCAGGATCGTCCAGATCCTCCACTGAGGTTCTACTCCCGGACCAGCAACACCCTCCGACACCGCATCGGCGGCCCCTTCGCACTGCGGATCCAATTTCGGCTCGGCCGCACGGCATTTGACTTGGTCTGCGAAGTGCATAACTGGGTGCTGTTGCCGTGGATATAGACATATAGATACATATAGTCAATTCATTAGTCATATTATTCTATGATCAGTATTGATCAATATACAACATGTATATTATGTAATATTATTGTTGCTATACCAGGCCCTTCATCCAAAGAAGTGATGATCTTAACGTCCTGCGCTTGCGCCCAAACTCCTGAACTCTCCGGGTGCACTATCTAGAAAGGCAATGATGATGCATTTCCATGAATTCTCCAACCAGTTCTTACTGATCCCTTGGATTTCTGCTGAAAATGGAGGGACCCGGATGTTGGCTGATCTGAAAATTCATACATAACATGTCATATCCATTCAGAAGGGAAAACGCGAAAGCTAAGACCCTGCATGGGTTGGGTTTTGTCCACATGTTTTTTCGACCTGAGGAATTGGCATTGGCCAGCGAGAACCTGCCGAGGAGACCAATGCTGAGGCGCCTGAGGTGCCTGGCCGCGGGCGTCAAGAGGATTTGACCACGCCATCCAGAGGTAAACTGGTGGTCGATTTCTCCAAACTGGCCAGTGTTTGGCCCAGACCCATATTGGCCTGGAAGGATTCTCCTTGAAAAAAGGTCAGGAGTTCCAAAGGGATGTGGTTTTGGGACGCTAAGTGAGTAGGAACAAACTATGGGGACCCCTACCCTCACCTCAAGATGAAACTCCTCGAGCTCGCTCTTTCGGGCCCACGATGGGCCTCAATGACATCCCTTTGTCTCTCCGAATTTCGAGCATTGCAGGATTTCAAGCCCAGGTACGCACTATAGGCTTGTTGGAGACATGACATGACGCCTATCGCGACCACTGTTTGGAAGGAGATTTGGGCTGGTTTCCAACTTGAAAACACACTTCGCACGTATTTCTGTTCCTTGAAGTACAAGAAGTGATGTGACGGAAGGCCAGCCATGAATTAAATCTATGTGTTGGGGATGGGCATGGGCGGAAGAAGCATCCCTCACATTCGTTGGATCAGCATTGGGTGCTGTATCCCGTGGCCCATCGGCGGACGGCGTCCATGACAGGAACTGAAACAGGATTCCACATCGGCAAGTCCAAAGAAGTACCTTGTCGGATTATTTTTGCTTGACCTGTCCAAGCAGGGACTGAGTGTGACGGGAGAGGAACAGGTACACATGTGTTTGGGAGAAATTTGGAGAATACTCGCAAGCCTGGGTTCCATCTCGGTGATTTCAGTGAGTGAGAGAGGGAGGGAGGGAGGGAGGGAGGGAACCGGACGACCTACCCACTCAACCGGTACCCTGGTTGTACAGTAGCTCATCAACGAATAGATTGAGCCTGGGATGGCTACAGAACAGTTCATATCTTGATTCACCGCCTATTCCAGTGGAAATTTTGCTTTAGAAAGCAACATCCAGTACGTAGGAAGAGAGTTGCGCCTGATAGGCACATCTTTTCAGAGGGTCGTCCGTCAAGGAAAGGGTCGCCTGGACTGAGGAAGCGGATCTCTCAGAGCAAAGCCCTCAATGCGGAGGACTGAACAGAATCGGCATGCACAATCCAGGTTCTTTTTTGTGGGTCAACACCAGGTGGTTGACCCCCCTTGCTACCCTTCGTTTACGTGACGCAAAGTGGGACATGCACAGACATGCACTGCTGTGTGAACATAGAGGGTAAGAGCCACTGAAGATGCCCTTTGATTCCAAGTCTTGATCCCTGTAGAATCTGATGGTCTGGATCTGGATCTGATCTAGCCGGGTCAGCATTTGAAACACCCATTTCCACCCGCCGTTGGCAGGACGACTTCTTGGGCGGTTGGGAGATCTATCCTGAAGGCCTCAGCGAGGCCGGGGCCGTCTCGGCGTGGTGTGGGGGGGTTCAGTGGAGACGCAGGTGGATTGCTGATAGCTACTGGTTCCGTTCGTAGCGTCCGATCGCTCCGTTCGTAGCGATGCCCGGAACCCCTAGTAAGAGTAGCTTCTTGTGTCAATTGGTTTCGCGTTTCACATCGAAACAAGAACAACAAGAACGCATTGAGCGAAGAGGACCTTCACGTCCAGATCAGATCTACGTTCGAGACTCCACACCAGGCTGTGGAGAGACTGTTTCAGGTGTGGACCAATCATGGCGCCCAGCCAGGTCATGTGACCCTCCTAATCCCAGTGAACCATCCACTTCTCCAACCACACCATCTCTCTTCCAACCCAACCCACGAACTCTCGACGCCGGTCACGCCCACCCGTCAGGGCTTCCTCAAGACCCTCACCTACGACCTGCGCGGCTCCGGACGGAGCCCAACCTCCCGACGGCCGAGACCTCGGCCGCGGGAAGGTCGACCGAGACCGCGGGAGTCTCCGCGGAGACGGCCCTGCACCAAGCCGGTGGAGGCCGCGCGGCGGGAGCCATTTCGGGGCCGGGGAACGGAGCTCGATTTCTGGAGACTTCAGGTCAAGGAAAGATGAAGAGCACCTGGTGGGGGGAAAGGATGGAAAGGCGAAACAGAACGGTTCAGAGGTTCACCACAAAAGAGAAGACAGAGAAGGTGTTTCTTTGGCATACTTTGGTGAGTGTCCAAAAGGCAAATTTGCAAAGGGCACGCTTGTTCCATGCAACCTTCAAGTCAATTGGTCGGTATAAATGATAATATAAGTGATTGATGGGAATTGCGCCAATCCAAATGGGCTTAAGTCGCTGCCCACCCCAGCCAACATTGTGAGCATGGGGACCTGCTTCATCTACTTCCTGTTTCTGTACTTGGCTTGGGTCTAACCGCGGGAATAAACACAGAAACACCCTGCAAACCATAATGAACCACTTGCCGGCTCCATAAAGATCCGCAGCAACCCCAACACAAAAGCCAGCTCCATAGATACAGCAACTTCAGGTTTGACCAAAAGGAGTTTCCTGTAATTAACAACAGCGGGCCATGTTCCAGAATACAGCAGGAAGACGTGGGGTATCCCGTGTCGGTCTCCATCTTCCTCGCCATGCCATGTCACCTCTCTGCAAATCGACCCCCAGCGACTAGGCGACATTGGACACCGACCCGCAGATTGTCCTGGTATGTCCTGGTGTTATTTGATGTATTAATAATCATTGAATATCTAATACCTTGCGAATCGAGAACCTGTAAATTGGTCGGTTCGCAAAAGCTCGGCTTTTCCACTGCTGGTCGCCAATACCTTGGGTTTTCCATTGCCAGACCTCGGCTTTTTGCTGCTTTGGACCTTTTGGACCACGTAGTGGGCAAGGTCTCGCGCTCCAGGAGAAGCTGGCGAAAAGAAACCATGACGGTGGTACAGCCTGGAGAATGCATAGCACAAACCATGACGGTGGTCATCCTGGAGTAGATGTGGAGAACTCCAAGAACAATACTGTACTAGGAAACTGACATTCATATTCTATCTACTCCCGGGTGGTTGTATTTTGGGAGTGTTGTTTTTTTCTCCCCCACCACGACTCGACTTCTTCCCGTAGTGCAGGGCATCGTGCGGGTCGCGCGGAACCTGCAGGTGGGGCCCTTCCAAACGGAGCGGCGGGCAGAGCAGCGGGAGCACCAGCAGCAGGTGCGAGTCATTGCTACATTCATATTCCAACAATGCATGGAATTGGACAATGGCTTTCTATGGTAAAGGATATAAAGGATTGAAAAGTAGTTGAACTCTACAAGCCGGAACTTCTCCACTTTTAACAGTTGACTGGGAGAACCATGGAGAACCTTCTTGTTCTCAAAAAGTGCGGCTGCACATTCCGAACTGGAGACGTGCTGCCGTTCTTCGCCCGTGTCAGGAGGAGACGGCCGCCCAGATCAAGGCGGAGGCCATCAAGGCGCGTCGACGGCCACCGTTTTCAACGCTCGTTGAGGGTCAGAGCGCAGGCAGATGCAGGAGTCTAAGAGGAAAGCGTGACATGAAATGTGTCTTCGACTTGGAACATCTTGGAACCGTTGTAGACATATGTAGTATCATGTAATTATAGATGTTCCACGATTTTCCTGTTGTTTCGTTCTGTTATTTTCTTTATCATTTTCTACTCAAACAAAGATCTTCAGAAGTTGTCATGCTCCGATGTTGTTTGTCTATGCTGTATGACCGCTGGTCGTTTTTCATCGACGGGCCCAGCTCCGGTGAGGACTTTGTTGTGGTGCGGCATGGAAACCAGCAGTTGCAAGTATAGAGCTGCATGTCTTGAGGACCTGAAGTGGGTACAAGTGTGGCACTTGTTCTCAGCCGTTTGCAAACCTTCAGACTGTAATCAGTTTCAATACACAGTGCATCACCCAAATGCTTGGTGTTTCCCACAAGTCAAACAACCTCTTCTGCACGCATGGTTGATTCATCGATTTTGCTCGATGGACCCGGGGCCGGCGGCGCCATGGACCGGGGCCACGATCAATCAGTTTTCCCATGTTTTCCTTGAACTTCGACGATGAACTGCTCAACAACTGCAAGTGACGTCCCCCCTGGAGAGGTCGAAAAGCCCTACAAGACTATAGCCCTAGGAGACTATAGCCTATGTGCCCATATCAGCATCCGACACAACTTCCGTGCATGTACTTGAGTCATGAGCCGCCTCTCAAAAAAGATCCCATAAAACAAGGTCCCACCATAACGAGGCCTTGAGAGACCTCTCAACCGGCCCCTGCAGGCAGTGGCTCACTTGCAGCATCCTTTGCTGGAGGGTCTTTTGCCCAACGTGCCCATGCACGTACGCCCGGCGTGTTCGTCCCCTCGGGGGACCCGGAAACGGACGAGCCACGGTCCACGGATGGACACATGTGACGTGACGTGGACACGGGGTGAATGACCCGACCCAAAAGTGTCACAAAAACGGTAAAGCAAAAGACCAAAATCACCCTCCCAACCAACCCCAACCCATAACATCCCATATACAGTATCGGTCATTTGAGCGCTCCCATGTATCCCTAAACCCAGCCCACTTGATGCTTTCTTCTCAACTGGACATGATCAGAAAAGAATAGGGGATCGATGGGAATTGATTCTTGCTCATTGAAACATCCTGCGTGAAGGTTGGAGAAGTTTGGAGGCTTCTTTGATTAAGGCGAAGCATCCATTTGGGAGGGGGATCATTCCACACTCCACCCCATGCTCCACCCCATGCTCCGCCATTCTCCACTGCAGCCAGGTGCGGCCGGCTCCCCCCTCTGCGCCACCGATGAGACCCAGGCGGGCAGTCTCTGAACAGAACATAACAGAACCGCCCGACTGGAGCCCGGTGGGACCGAGAGGATGGTGATGGTGCTGATAGTTGGAGGATGAAAGCAGCCAGGACACCACTCAAAGAAGCCTGGAAGAAGCGTTTGCTCGATCGGGGACACCTGTTTGATGTGGCCCTAAAGAAGTCACCTTTGTTCTCTTTGCTTGAATTTCTGGTATGTGGTAGTTATCCCAGACATTCCCAGACCCATGTACGGCCTATTAAAACCCACATTGAGGTGGTTGAAAAGGGGTCAATGTAGGCAGGGCCTGACGTTATGCTCCCTGCTCGCAGGCCCAACTTCGGCTGCGGCCGTTTCCACCAGGCACCGGGGCGGAGGTGGAAGTGAGCGGAGCTCGGCTCACGCCGGGGGGCACAAACGGGCAATGGACAGGAAAAGCATACCCAGACCTACCCAGACCATTGAATAGTTACCATTACATTCATAAATGATCATAAATGTACTGCAACGATTCGTTCTGGAACATCGAATCCGCATGTCTTTCGGTCGGATTTCTTCCATCGAAGCGTGGAGTTCTCGCATGTTGCTTCCTTCCTCCAGGAGTGCTCCTGGTCTGATGCCAAAAGCTTCTACGCCGAGGGGAGGCGTGGACGTCGACCAACCCGTGTGGTCGCCAGCCCCTCGGAAAAGGGTTCCAACGGCGCAGAGCATTTGGATTCGTTTTGATTAGTAAAAGCTTCTCAGAATCAACGGGATGGGGTAATTAATTATGTTGATTTGGATTGTTGATTTGTGTTGGGTTTGATTCATCAATCGAACCAACAGTCTGCCTAAACCGACACATCAGTGGATCACCTGCTTAAACCATTTTAAACCGTCCAAGTTGGTTTCAAACAAAACATATATATTGTATAGTTGGTTGGGGGTTGATACAAGTTCACTTCCCAACATCCCAAGCTCAGTGCTTCTTCGCTTCGCTTCCACCGTGTCGCCCTCGCGAGGCGGAGCGAGGCGGCGGCTTCCACCTGGCGAGGGGGAGGCGGTGGGTTTGGCGGCGAGTTCGAGATGGGCTGGAGATGGAGATGGGTGTAGAATTTCGTGATCTATATACCAGGACCTTCAGTACGTGACCTCTTTGGAATTTGTCAGTGACCTCATTCTGGGATCTCAAAGGTCCCTTTGAAGGTCCTGGTATATAGAGTATGATCTAGCCAGAGCCTCAACCGTTGATAGGCTTTTGCTGTGAGTAGCGGGACGGAGCTCGGGCACACGAGGACCGTCCACCATCAACCATCCTAACCTCTTGGGTGTCGTATCGAAGGTCGTTTGATCCAGTTCTTTCAGTGTCGACCACCCCACCGGACCGCGACCTCGGAGGCTGGCGACACCTGTAAGCGCCTGTGTGGCGCCGGTGGGGTCCGGAGGCCAAGGAAAGAATGATTGGATGACCAGCGACAAGGTATACGGCATACGTATCAAACGTATATGGATGCAGAGTATATGGAAGACATGACACATATTTGCGTGATTTTACGTGTAAGCCGCTTTGCATACATGTGGGACCGAGGGGTTATGCTAATATCCTGGACCATCCATGTATGGAATATATGCCCACATTGACCCCGAAGCGGCCCCAACGTAGGTAAATAGGCTATACATGGATGGCCTGGGTCTGGTTTTTTCAACCCAAGCACGGGCCGCACGGGTTCATCCATGTGACATCACGCACTTCACATCGCTGACTCCACTGAACGAAGTCTACTTCGCCCCGTGGCCCGGTCAGACCGTAGTTCACCCGAGATCTGGTCGTTGCACCCCAGGTCGGCATCGCACCTTCGGAAGCGAAAGCCATGGAACGTTCCGAGGTCGGGACATGACGGGAGTCCAGTCGGCTTTCGAAGTTGGACATCCGACCACTTGGACGTCCGACCGAAGTCGTGTCCTGCCTGAGGTGGTTCACGGCTGAAGGCTGCCCCGTCCATCGCCTTTTGCCCAAACGTCCCAGCAGCATCCCCAACGCACCAAACCCCGATGCAAGCGTTTGTCCCTGTTCTCGCTGCTAAATCAGAGGCTTGAAGAGACACAGGATGCATGGTTTTTTGGGATGCTGGGAATGAGTTGTTTTCTTGGGGGTACTACTGACTACACGCGCCAGACATTGGGGCGGGATGGATGACCAGATGAGACTATGATTCAATGTCCTTTGTTCATGTGATATGGTGCAACCTTTTTGTTGATACGTCTTAAGCCCTAAGGCCCATCATCATGAGTTTCTTCATTTCCACTTTCTGTCCACCTTTACACACACACACACACCCCGTGCAGAAAACCTTCATCAGCAGCGACTTTGGGCATTTCACCGCCTGTTTCACCGGGGGCTGGGGCGAAGATGCACTACTTGTTCCATCATCTTCCTGACACACGCTTTATCTGCATGACCGGCTCCCGCTGCCGCCTGCCGCGGCCAAGAAGACCGCAGCGGCGTTTTGGCACCTTTGACTTTAGCTCAATTGCGTCGGAGGGTGACGCTTTTTCAGGTGCGTGTGGCTGGCCTGTCTCAGAAAGGGCTCGACTGACTTGTCGGGAAAAAGACATGGTGTTGTGAGCAACACTTTGGTAGAAGGAGCAAGGATGTTCATTCATTGATGGATGCCACGATGTCAGAGTGTGTCAGTGTGTGTGTGTGGATGTTTGTCTCCAGATCAACCTCAACTCTGCAACCCGGATGGCCTAGATTCGCGTTTTTTTGGGGTGCTTCGACCACAGGTTCACCACCAGATGCTATTCAACCGTGGATGAGAATTCAGTGAGGGAAATACTGTAGAGACAATTTAATGGAAACTACTAATAGCTAGAAGCTATCAGGTTGGAGGCCATCGCAACTAGTAACAAGAAGCTGAGACAATTAGATAAAACAATGGGAACTTCACCTACCGTTGAAAACAGGTTTGAACATGTTTGAACGGAATTGACTGGTTTCTTTTGGCTGCTGAGACTGGAGTTCCAGGCCTTTCGCAAATCAACGACTCATTGAGAACAGAGTCAGCCCAGAGTTTGTACACCTGCAGAGTGTTCAGCGAAGCATTGAAACGCCGTAGTATTATGCGTGCGTTTGGCGTGACCAAAAAGGATGACACGCTGTCACTATGTCAGGGCCTTCAACATGGGGATGACCGGATGTGGAATTTCTTCAATGGGATTGGTAATTTGGCTGTGGGTTTTGGCGGGGTATTTTGGTTGACCGCAGAAGATGAACAGAATGGACTATCACAAAGGTCAACCTAAGAGGGTTTAGGGCTCCAGGGCTCCAGTTTTTGCCCCACAGCCGTCTGAACTCTGAGATAGATGCTCTTTTATGAAAGTGATGGTCTTACCCACCTACCGGACCTACTCACCCACCCACCTACCCGGACCTAGACGCCCGCTGGACGTTCGCTGGTTAGGCGCCCGATGGGCAGATCTTACAGGAGGGCATCAGTGAAGCGGGCGCCTTGTGTACCTGGATCGCCGGGAGCCCGAAGTGTCCTCACAAGGTTGCCCCACTGTTGAGGACACGGTTGATGGGATTCCATCCACTGTTGAAACCAGCCAAGATGGTCCACTGTTGATGGGATTCCAGCTCCACTCAAATCGCCAGGGACTCAGCTGAGCTCCCCAGCTCCAAAGGTATCCTCAGGTACCCAGTCATTGGACTATAACGACCTTTGGTCTATAACGACCTTTGTGGACAGTTCGCTTCACCTGGATTTCTAGGGAAAGGGTTGGGAGAAGTGTTCACCTGACCCAGGAGGCGAAGCTCTGACGTGTTGACGTGACGAAGACTCGATTCCCCTCAGAGCTTCACAAAGCTGGGAGCTGGTGTGGATACCTCTCGCACGTTGCTCCAGATGTTGACTCAAGCTTTGAAGCATTTTGCAGAACTGTTTGGCTCTATTTCTTACGCGAGTCTGTGGTGGGCTGCTTTGAGTTACTGTAACATACTGTAACCTTCCGATGCCGAGTAAGTGTTTGTCGGAGCCCAGGGGCCGTACGAAATGAGATTCCAACCGTCGCCCAAGAAAGAGCAAGCTGGTTGACGGCCCAGAATCAAATCCCCGAAGGCCCTTCGTATATCTTCGTATCAGACATCCTCACATGGTAGTTGTGTTTCCTTCTCTTCCAAGGCCAAACAGTGGTCAACGTAAGGCCAGACTCTCCTGAGCTCTCGAGTGGGATGTGGTTCCTTCTGTGGCACGCGCACGGCCTGGCCTGCCGACCTCCATGCCCCTGACCCGATGATCATGCTGGGTGGGGGCGTGGGGGTACAGACTACTGGGATCTACTAGGTTTTAATTTGATTATGGAGCAACAGAGTGAGGATGTACCCCGCTTGCACCACCTCACTTGCCCGTGCGAGGGGGTGAGTTGAATTCAGAGGGCATAAAAGGCGCTGGAGGAGATGAAGGAGCTTACCTAAGTGAGCCAATCGCTGCAACCTCTTCACTTCAACAGGGTGATTAGAGGGACTTGTCTGAAGCGGCGCATCTGCACGAGTGTTGCGGACTTAAAAGTTTTAAGCTTTTAAATTACTGTAAACTGTAGCTGCACATAGAGGAACAAGAGCAACACATCCAGCTTTTTCAAAGCACGCCTGCTGATTGTCATCACCAGTTGGTTGCCGGTGTGCTGATTTCCACTGGATGGTTGTTGAGGTTTGTTCAGCACAGGCAGCTGTGAAGTCCGACAGGTTGGAAGTGTCTCACCGCCCGACTCGAGGCAAGGATCATCTTGGATCGGCCACCCCATCTAGTCTGCTATTGTCTAGTTGGTCCTCAGAGAATGGCGACCACATAGTGACTCCACCAGCAGTGGCCGCCACCAGACTATCACCATGACTTGGCACAAGCTGCGTTCCAGGGATGTGTGCATGGGGTTGGCGACGATCTGCGAACGTGTTCGGGTAAAGGGACTGTGACCATGTTCCCGTTTGCCCTTGTCTATTTGAAATGATATTGGCTGTAGTTTACCAGAAGACGGGCGTGGGGAAGGAACTAAGTTGTCGCGATGAGGATGCCAATCATGTTTGCCGTGATGGCTTGAAGATCCTCAATGAACTTGTATCAGCCAGGAGTTCCCAAAATGTTGGCTTTTTAGACCCTTGCTGTGAGTGCAACATGTGCACAAATCCTGCATTCAGCACACTTTTCGAACTGCTCGGTATGTCTGTGGGTCGGTGGGGTGGCCATCGAAGTTCTTCAACATTCCAAATGGTTCATCCAACAAAATCAAAGACGAAGACTATCACAAAGTGTCCAGTTCGGTCAAGGAATTAGACCAGTGATGACCAGTGTATCCATTGATTTGGGGTCTTCTTTTTACAACAATACACCACATGTGTGCAGCTTCCGTCCGAAGATTTGTTGGGCAAGAGGGGTCTTCCTGTTTGAACAGGCCAGCTACTGGTTGTCCTCACAGGAAAACCCAAGCCAGTGAGTGTTTGTTGAGAGATATTGGTTGCGGGTGGTGTTTAATCCTGGAAGCTCGACCAAGTATTGCGACCAACTCATTAAGATTATCATTAAATTAATCTTTGGGACATGTGAGAGTTGGCAGGAATTGTCCAGAAGACACCGATCGAGGAGTTGAACACATTGAGAGATTGTATACTAGTATACGTGCTGCTCTCACCGGCGAAATCATAAGTTTTTGTTTTTCTGGCTTGGTGCTTGATGCATTGACGGTGCACTTCCTCCAACAAAACAAGAAACAACAACGACGGGACGACGGTGCACTTCCGAGGCCACTGGCACCTCCTATTCTTCTCAACAGGTGGGCATCGCTCCACCCAATCCGACGATCCGATCTCTTTTTGATGAAAGCGAGAGGGCGACTGGCGGGTGGAAGCAAAGAGAAGGATGAATGATGAATTTAAGATTCATAGCTACCTCCCCACCTAAGAATATTGATTTGTATTCATGTATAGTTAACTATTTGGAGCTGGGTGGGAGTTAGGCGTCGGTACTCAGACACCCCAGTGGGCAAATGGCGCGTCCGTTGGAGCCTACCTCCCCTACCTCCTCGCCCTTTTCGGTTTGAAAACAGAGGGTTCCAGTGGACCTTTTGCCGCACGGAGCGGAGATGTACTGGGATCGCCTCTGGCAGATTCACATGGGATCTCTCCAAACCCCTCGGCGGAAACAGGGGAGAAAATGAACTTCTCATGACGTCATGGGATCGTCGGGTCCATGGGATCGTTTGATCTGGGTCCGCAGCCGAGATCATGTATTTCGCCTCGTTGATTGGAGATCCCAAGGTCTATCCAATGATCTTTTTCGTTTCACCGCCTCCTTGCTTCCATCGCAGTGCCCGATGATGCCCTTCTTCATCTACTACTCGATGTTCGGTTTTCAGCGCGTGGGCGACATCATTTGGCAGGCGCCGTTGGGAACCGGACGAACCGGAGCCGTTTCAGCGGAGTTCGTTCGCTGGAGCCGAGCACATCGGTGACCGAGCACATTGGGGGCTCGGTGTCTGGTGGAGTCTGCTGGAGCTACTCCACGACGAGTCACTGATCTCCGGACAGATCGGGACAGATCGGATTTTCGCTACTAGTAACAGGTGCCACGCTAGTAGTAACAAGTGCCTTACTAGTAGTAACAAGAAGCTACTAGAAACAAGTGCATCGCAACCCTCTCTCCTACAAACAGGGGGTCACTGTCGCAGGCCTTGTTCAAGCCACTGTCGTGCACTGACCTGGAATCTGGCTGGTTTCTGGAGATACACTTGTCCAAGAATGTCCAAGAAACCAAAAGATATGGTCAACCAAGGCCGCATGCATGAGGGATCCTTAAGATACCGACAAATTTGGGCCCGTGATAGCAAAAACACTGGTGCAGAAACATGCTACACAGCTTTCAACTCCCAAATAACACTTTGAAAACCATGCTATTAGTACTGGCATGCCAATAACATGTTAGAATATATAGCTGAACACTTAGCTAAGCACTTAGCAACAAAAGCTAGCTAAATAGTTTGTAAACCACTTAACTTAGGTAAGTAGTTTAATAAGTGGGTTACACATTTTGTAGGTA